GATACCATTTAAGTTAACAAATCTGCAGGCTATATATAAAATTTAGGGAGCCATTTTATTTCTAAAAAGAAACCTTATTTTAACTCCTTTACTATCAAAGTAAACTGGCTTTATTTTTTGACACAGGTTTCATTCTGTATACTAGTGTGAGCTCAAACTCACAGAGATCCCCTTGCCTCTCCCACCTTGGATTAAATGCCTGTCCCTCTACCCCCAGAAATATTAAACTGACCTTTTATAGACTTTGATAACAAAACCTTAAGAAAAGCTGAGCAAGCTATGAATATTTCACATTCATTGGTACAAATTATAAATCACTAATTGTCATGCAAACATTATATAACCTACACATTTATCTGAATGATGTTTTGTAGCATTTAGAACAATTATAAGGTATTATATTATCAATAGAAATAAAGTGAAATTCTGTTTTGCACCTTAGGAAAAAAAATCATACATTTAAAAATAGAATTTGTTAGTATTCCAGTATGGAATGATTTCTTTTTTTATTATTGATTTTTAAGTTAGCATACAAAATGATGATTTTTTTTGTTGTGGCATTTTTATAGATGCATATGTACTTTGTTAATATTTGTAGTCCCATTCCCTTGTCTGGTTTCCTTTTCAAGTGGCTTTATTCATTCACAAAATTATTTCAACTTTCACGGTCTGTGTGTGTGTGTGTGTGTGTGTGTGTGTGTGTGTGTGTGTGTGTGTGCACCCATACATATGTGCACACATGAGTTCAGGTGTGTTTAAATCTAGATTCACATATGAAGAAAAGCATGGCAGGTTCATCTTTTACTCTCCCTATACACTCTCTAGCTCCTCCTTCCTACAGACTCCTAAATGCAATAAGATTCCATAAGATACCATCTCACACTAGTCTGAAGGGCTACTATTCATGAAACAAGGGATAGATACTAGATATGAGGATAGGACACTACTTGTAAGAATGCAAATTAAACAGCCTCTGTAGTAATTCAGTATGGAGTTTCCTCAAAATCTAAAAATTGATGGGTGTAAGGTGAAATCTCAGGGTCGTTGTGATTTGCATCTCCCTGATGCCTAAGGATGTTGAGCATCTCTTTAAGTGTTTCTCTGCCATTCTATATTCCTCTACAGAGAATTCTCTGTTTAGCTCCGTACCCCATTTTTTATATATTCTGGGTATCAGTCCTCTGTCTGATATAGGGTTGGTGAAGATCCTTTCCCAGTCTGTAGGCTGTCCTTTTGTTCTGATGACAGTGTCCTTTGCTTTACAGAAGCTTTTCAGTTTCATGAGGTCCCATTTATTGATTTTTGCTCTTAGAGCCTGTGTTGTTGGTGTTCTGTTCAGGAAGTTGTCTCCTGTGCCAATGAGTTCTAGGCTGTTCCCCACTTTTTCTTCTAACCGATTTAGAGTATCTGGTTTTATGTTGAGGTCTTTGGTCCACTTGGACTTTAGTTTTGTGCAGGGTGTTAAATATGGATCTATCTTCATTTTTCTGCATGTATACATCCAGTTGGACCAGCACCATTTGTTGAAGATGCTGTCTTTTTTCCATTGAATGGTTTTGGCATCTTTGCCAAAAATCAGGTGTCCATAAGTGTGTGGGTTTATTTCTGGGTCTTCTATTCGGTTCCATTGATCCTCCTTTGTGTTTCTATGCCAATACCATGTAGTTTTTATTACTATTGCTCTGTAGTACAGCTTGAGATTGGGGATGGAGATACCTCCAGATGATCGGTTGTTGTACAGGATCGTTTTGGAGATTCTGAGTTTTTTGTTTCTCCATATGAAGCTGAGAATCTTTCTTTCAAGGTCTGTAAAGAATTGAGTTGGTATTTTGATGGGAATTGTGTTGAATCTGTAGATTGCTAAGGACCAAATATATCTGGGCACAGGGGTCTTTTCTGAGGCTGACACTCCACCAAGGACCATGTATTGATATAACCTAGAACCTCTGCTTGGATATGTAGCCCGTGGTAGCTCAGTAAAATGGTTTCCCATAGTGAGAGGAACAGGGACTATTTCTGACAGGAACTCAATGGCAGGCTCTTTGACCTCTCCCCCACCCCCAAGGGAGGAGCAGTCCTGCTAAGCCACAGAGGAGGACTTTGCAGCCAGTTCTGAAGATACTTGATAAAACAGGGTCAGATGAAAGGGGAGGAGGTCCTCCCCAATCAGTGGACTTGGAAAGGGGCAGGGAGGAGCTGAGGGAAGGAGGGTGGGATTGGGAGGGAATAAGGGAGCAGGATACAGCTGGGATACAGAGTTAATGAAATGTAACTAATAATAAAAAAATAAAATTAAATTAAAAATACTGTCAGAAAACAGCATCTATTAGAAAAGAACAAACAAATATAGATTAATATGCCTGAGGATGAGTCTTTACTAAGGACATTTATTTAGAGCCATTCACAAAACATTTCATTAGGGTGCAGAAAATAAATGTTGTAACATCAACATATTTACTTTCATTCTATCACAATTTCTATGTTGGAGTATTTTTAGCGTGTGTGTTTTATAATGTATATATATATAATAATACATAGTAAACATAAAGTATATGCGTACAAATATAACACATATATAAATCAAATGTATACATACATTTAGACCTTAATCCATTCTGTACTACTATGCTAAAATACCTGAGACTGTGAAACTTGTAAAGATGCTTGGGTTATTATTATTATTATTATTATTATCATTTATCACAATTTATTTACTTTGTATCCCCGCTGTGTCCCCCTCCCTTATCTCCTCCTAATTCCACCCTTCCTCCCTCTTCTCCCCCATGCCCCTCCCCTAGTCCACTGATAAGGGAAGTCTTTCTCCATTTCCCTCTTACCCTAGCCTATCAGGTCTCATCGGGACTGGCTGCATTGTCTTCCTCTGTGACCTGGTAAAGCTACCGCACCCCTCAGTATGAGGTGATCAGAAAGCCTGCCACTAAGTTCATGTTAGAGACAGCCCCTGCTTCCTTTACTAGGGAAGCCACTTGGATACTGAGATGCCATGGGCTACATCTGTGCAGAGGTTCTAGGTTATCTCCATGCATGGTCCTTGGTTGGAGTATCAGTTTCAGAAAAGACTATGTGCCCAGATTTTTTGGTTCTGTTGCTCTCCTTGTGGAGCTCCTGTCCCCTCCAGGCCTTTCTATTTCCCTCTTCTTTCATAAGATTCCCTGTACTCTGCCCAAAGTTTGGCTATGAATCTCATCATCTGCTCTGATACCCTGGAGGGTAGAGCCTTTCAGAGGCCCTCTGTGGTAGGCTCCTGTCCTGTTCCTTGCTTTCTCCTTTTTCCAATGTCTATCCTGTTGGTGTGTCCTTACTTTTTAGTCTCTCACTACCATGATATTTAGTTCACTCCTGAGAGACACAACCCATTTTGTGAAATCATCATTAATTCATTCCTGAGGGTGGAGTCCTCAGGACCTAATGACATTCCACCAGGCTCTCTCTCTTAGAGGCAGCACTACCATAATACTATCACATTGGGGGTTTCACCACATGAACAAACCATACCCAAGCTGTAGAAGGATCATGCTCAATAATTTTCTTTTATTGAAAATTAGAACCAGTAAAAATTACTTTAGAGGATGTTATGTATCTTTTTTTCATCATAAGAATATTATAGTGTGTTTATGTAAGAAGTGAGGTGAGTTTAAACCATGCAAGTGATTCCATTAGGTCCACTCATTTAAAAATATCAATATTTATTGGTGAAACATCATTCATTCATATTTAATGAATACTTTCTTAATGCATAATATGCATCCTGATTGGGGGCGGATACAGTTGTGAACTTAAACACAGTATCTGAACTGACAGTGCTGTACAGTTCAGTGGGGTAGACTGTTATAACCAAATAACTATTATTAAATATATATAATCATGCGCACATGATTGCGATGTAAAAGAAAAGCACAGCAATCTACAAAGAGCTTATAAAGGATAAATCGAGGCACTGTCTTCATTCTGGGATTATGGAGAAGACTATCCTGAAAAGTGGCACTTAATCAGAGCCTTGCCGAGATTGGTTGGTTTGTCTTTTGAAAAGAGAATCGGAGAGTGGCATAGATGGAGGGGTGGTATGTGTGAGAGGAACATATGGTGGGAGGGGACAGTGCCATACACACATGGGTGTTCAGAAAGTAGTGAAGCTTAAGACATAAATGTATCTGAGAAATAGATGGCATGCAGGCTAAATTACTTCAAGAGATTTGCTTTCCTTTGGTTTTCTGGGTGGACAGGGGTGGGGGTAATCACAAATTAGCTGCTGATACCAGAGGGCCACAAAAGGTCCTGAGAAACTAGTTTGGTGGCTGGGCATAACTGGAATATTGAATTCTACTCTAGTAGCAACGCCGGGAACCTCAGGTATGGATGTCTGTGATTCTCTAGAATGGTAATTGGTAAAGAGGCATAAAGGGCTACGTGTTTTGTCTGGCTGAGTTACAGATGTCGATGTCGATCTTTCCTTTTGAAGACTCATGAGACTTTTCTTGAGCAATGGGCACTAACAGGGCCTACTAATGTGCTGCAATCATGTGTTTTCCGGTACTATTTGAAGCAAGAAGGTGCGTGTATTAACTTCTTGGCACAAAAACAAAACAGAATAAGCAGATAAAAAAATTAAAGATTTGTTTCTTTGGTAAATGACGTAAATAGAAGAGTCATTGTGGGTAAATGAGTCTATAGCTAGCTCTGCCTGAGACTTTAGGCCCTAGGCAGAAGAGACGCTAAGACAATTATTTGATGGTCCATTGTCACTGTGACTTCTAATCAACTGGGAGGGGACGAAAGACGAGGGAGATTAGGGTTGGACAAACTAGAAGGAAAAGCAGGCCAGCCAGGGAACACTCTTTACAGGAGCTGAAGGGAGGCGGCTACAGCGGGTCCCCGCGCACCAGGAAGGGGGCATGAGGAGGCGGCGCAGGCCCAGCCCCCTCCCCTGGCAGGCGCGGGCGCGGGCGCGAGACGCTGCGCGGCGGCAGCGGCGGGAGCGAGCGGCAGCTGTCAGGCCACTGAGGTCCAAGCTGCACTTGCTGCCCCATTGAGGACAAGGTGGCAGTGCGAACTGTGACCCGGTCACTGAGGAGCCAGGCTAGAGGCACGCAGAGCTCATCTGTCTGGCATCTGTAGCCCTGTCCTTTCTCCTTCCTATTGTGGTGGGTAAGGTGTCTGCGCGTGGGCAGGAGGAGGGGGCTAGGGCTGACGGACCCGGGAGGCCAGAAGATGGGGGGCCCTGGGAGAAGAGGGAGAAAGGGCAGCTCAGGTCATCGCTGGAACTACTGGCACCTCAATAAAGGAGACTAGAAGCTGCTGAGGTTGTAGTCGGAGAGAGGTGATGATGGAGGGGGGCATTGCTGAGTAATCTGGAGTGGCTGCCAGAGCAGGACAGAGAAGCGCAGGGCTCCGTGGGGAGCGGGTGTGGTTCACTGCGCATGCGCCACAGTCGACCAGCTCTAGGAGCTGAGGATGAGGTTAGAGGACCTGGGTCTGAGATAGTTGGGACTATGCATGATATTTCACTTTCTAAGTTCCCAATACTAAAACAGTGTACCTGCCATAGATATGCCAACATTTCTGCTCTCCTAAGGACGTTTTATTAGTGTCCTGAAAACCTTTACTTCCAGGCAGCCTATTAAGGAAGACGTGGCCTGGGGACAGTGCCAAGTTCCTATCAAGTGTGTCTTTGAGCTTACTGCTTCAGAACTGTTATGAAAAGTGAAATATTAGACATGAATTAACACACTAAAAACTTAGTTTCATATATGGTGTAAATGCCAGCATGAAGTTAGAAATAGCATTTTGGTGGCATGACAGCTATGGCATCTAGACTTCATAGCATGGGTGTAGCTGCTAACTGAGCTCTGCAAAGTAAATTGAGTGCGTCACAGGGCTTCCCCGCCATGAAACACCCCCCTTCCTAGCATCAGGTAGCATGGGAAGCAACCCACACCATTTAAATTAGAGGGTCTTAAAGATCAATCATTTCTCGTGTTCATTTTTTCATACACTACAGAAAGCCACACCCATTCCTTCAGTGAAGTATTTCTGAATCTTATTTCAGGATTAAAGAGTAAATTAAATAGCTCTAATCAATATTTCGCCACAAGATGGGCTTTGCTCACAGCTCCAAACATGTCCCTTCCCTTCCATCAAGGCTACTCTCATCCGTTGCCCACCCCCCTTCTATTCTCCCCCCAAGCCCTGCAGTGCACACCCCTGTCAAGACTTGCTCCCAAACAACCTGCGCTACTAATTGTGAGCATCATCCTACCCCATGGAAACTGAAGTAATATTGCCAATTTGCTTGTGTGCCTCTTTTCTCTCTGTACTCATAATAAAATGTGTTATTTAAAAAGATTCAACCTTTATTTTATTGCCTCTGCTCCCAATCTCAAGCACCTCCCAGCTAAATACGGTAATTTTAATCAGCCTGTGTGGGTGCAAACTTAGGTAATTCAAAAGGATTCAAGTGCACTGAAGAGTAAAGAACTAGGAATATTGGTTATATGAATTCCTGATATTGTCCTGTCTATTATCCAAGACAATATTTGAGTCAAAGCCAGATATTTCTATTAATGGTAGCAAAATTACAATAAATATTGTGGTCCAAGGTCTGGAGGTGTAGCTTAGTGGTAGAGTGTTTGATACACAGTGCCCTGGGTTTGATTCCCAGTACCAGGGATTTAAAAGAGAAAAAAAGAATGTTTGTTTCAGATCTTGTATATATGGGAGCCATAATGAATTTCTCCTCATGTTAGATATATTTGTTGTTAACAAAAAAATCCTTCTCTCAGCTTAATGCTTTCTTATTTTTATGTTGGACCAAATTTGGCATCACCAGGGGGAGGGACTTTGATTTCATTGATTTTTTTATACTGTGCTAGTTCATATCATTTTGAATCTGTACTAACATATATTATCCTCATCTTCAAACACAATAACAGGGATGACAGCAACCACTGAAAAAATGGATATCATTATTCTTCGCTTGTTTTGGGTAGGAAAAGAGATACTGTTGAAAATATATATTTATTTTAAAATATGAGTGTAGCAAAAGGGAAACTGAAAATCATCCATTGACTTTCAACAGGTGGAATTTCTGCTAAGTCCTTTCTGGAAAGGGATCCAGAAAAATTCATAATTTGTATTTTAGGATCGATTGTTGGCATAAATTTCAAGGCATCAATTCTGGATACCTATCTGTCTATTAAATCATAAATACTTATTGCTTATTTCTGTAATGGATTCTGGCACCACATACTGAAACAAGCTTCAAAGACGTACACAAGCAGAAGACCTACTATTTAAAATGTTTAAATCAGTTGTGAAAAGACATAGCTTTTTTTAAAGAAGTCTGTTAACAGCATCAAACAGTGGGATAATATCAACTACAAAGAATGAGATGTTTTATTGAGACATAAAATGTGGACATATCTATGGGGCACAATATGATCATTCTGTGCAAATATAGAATGTATAATGATCAAAGGGTAATAATTGCTTCCATTTCTTCAAATATTAATCATCTGTATGTATTGGGTACTTTCATATTCTGAGGTCTTTTCTCCTATAAAGTACTCAGTGGAAAATTACTTTTGTTTTTTTAAATGTCTAAATATTTTTTATTATTAAATTTTATCATTGACAATTTCATACAACCATAAAATACATTCTGCTTGTTCTCACCTCCAGCACTTTATCTCCTGCCCGTACCTCTCAAGCCTCACTCCTCCCCTTCAGTTCTTGTGTATCACAGAACAGCATTGAACTCCTCTAGCTGAATATACTCTTCAACTATTATCTTGAGTCCACTTCCTGAGTGTTACAGTTACATGTATCTGCCAACATGCTTAGTTTTACAAGGTGTTGAGGGTCAAACTCAGTGTATTCAAGTACTCTATCAATTAATTGACGTACCTCCTCTTCTGGTTATTTTAAAGTATTTAATCAATTGCTTTGAGCAGTAGTTATCCTACTTTCTCTAGTATGAAATAGAACTCCACTGAGGATCCAACCCAGGGTGTCATACATGTTTTACCAAGTGCTCCCATCGCTGGGTTCCATCCTCAGTCCTTACTGTGAAATTGAAGTTTAGATGTTTATTTGTAAATTCCTTATGGGCAAGTCTTTGCTCAGATGAATGGGGAGGAGGTCCCCCCTATCAGTGGACTTGGCAAGGGGCACGGTGGAGAGGGAGGGAGGGAGGGAGGGACTGGGAGGGAATGAGGGATCGGGACACGGCTGGGGTACATAGTTAGTAAAATGTAACTGATAAGAAAAAAATAAAATACGAAAAAAAAAAACATTTCCAAAGAAATTGGCATCTTTTGAGTGTTCAGCGCTACACTTTACAAAGTTGATTGGGAGAAGAGAAACCAGAGGCAGGAACAGAAGATCTGAAAGGTTCTCATAACATAGATGTGAGAAGATGCTGGCCAAATGTCAACAGAGCCATGTGTAGTAATAAACGTCTGTAATCTCACCTATTTTGAAGCATGGAATTGGAAAGAGGATAAATTTCTTGAGACCACAAGTCTGGCCCTAGCCTGGTCAACACAGCAGAACTCTACTTTAAAAAATGGAGGTGGAAGGAGAGGACTAGAAATGGGTATTTGGGGCCAAGTCAGCAGAATTTACTGACTGAAGGCAAGGAGACAAACCTGAACTTCTTATCTTCCTACTTTTAACAAATAAATGGACATTGGCAATGATATGGGGAGTATGTAGGGCAGCAATTCTCAATCAGTGAGTCTTGACTAATTGAGACTTAATTTATGGGGGTAGGGACAAAAACTATTTCACAAGTGTCACAATATAAAATATACTGCATATCAGATTATGGTTCATAACATTATGAACATTATGTTCATAACAGCAGCAAAACTACAGTTATGAAGTAGCAACAAAAATAATTTTATGATTGGGGGTCACCACAACATGAGGAAAGGGTTGCTTCATTAAGAATGTTGAATATATAGGTTAATATAGAGGATCACCATGGTAATAACAACAGCACACAGTAGGCTCTCAATGCTTTCTAAGACATTAGTAGAAGAATTAGACTAGAAGATCCTCAAGATCATTTCAGCACTGAGATTCTATGCCATATATAGATGCTCAGAAGTTGTTAGGGAACTAGGCATTGTTTCACTTTAAAGAACAAAGAGGGACTAATGTTTTTATAAAACAAATAAATGGTAAAGCAGCAAGGTAGACCTTCCTTTGCCTCTCCCCACAGCATATAGTTTATGTACCTAGAGTTAAGTGTGCACATTACCAACTAGAGAATTGTCAGGCTGTTGTTGATGCTGATTATTATTCCTGGAGCTGGGAATTTAGTGTCCATATTTGCTGTTTTTGACCCATCTATTGAATTTACCTGCAGGTGGGAAAGTGGGGATAGTGAGTTCTTTAATGATGTTAACACCTGTTTTCTAGATACGTAAGAAAAGTCACTTGGTATCCACTGCTAATACCAGCATCTATAGTTTACACAAATTTGTAATTCTTTCTGTTGCTTCTAGAAATGAGAGTTGAAGAGTTCTGAACTGTAAATTTATGTTATAAACTAATATTAAAAATATAGTATAAAGTGAGAGGATAACTCAGTGGTTGAGGATTTTCCTAGCCTGCAGACACCCTGTGCCCTCCTGAACATATCAAAAGCAAAGCCAAACAAAAAGGAGAATTAAAAACCGTGCTAACACATCAGTTACACAACCATTTCAAGAGATATTTGTCACTTAAGCCAGTTACAAAGACAGAAATTTGAAAGCCAAAAAAGTGTGGGCAAAAACCAAGCAAACTAAAATGGTAGAAAATGTAAGATTCTATAGAGTAGATTTAGCCTAAGAAAGGGAATAAAGCTTATCAATTTAGGAGATATTGCTTACATTTAAGTTACTACTGTAGATAGTCAATAACTACCTGGTTAGCTTTGCAAAATAACATAAGATAATTAAGCAGCTGAGCTGTTTCTTAAACCGCTTTTTAATCCACAACAAGAAAGCATAATTAACAAGCAGAGCAATCATTTTTTCTTTTGTAAAGAATCATTACATCTTTTGCAAATGTAGTAAGGACAGCTACAAGTTAGTCATGACTGTGAATACTTGCAACCTTCATCACTCAGGAGTGTTGAGGCAGAAGAATCAGGAGTTTAAGGCCATCTCAAGCTACATAGCAAACTCCAGAACGTCTTGTGCTATACAGTGAGACCTTGTCTCAAAAAAACCAACCAAGCAGGGAGACAGATACCATTTCCCTGAATTGAGTAGGTTTTGTTTCTAAAGACTTATTTCATTTTATTATAGATTATTAAAATTCTGCTTCTCCCAATCCTGATGAGACCTGATAGGCTAGGGTCAGATGGAAGGGGAGGAGGACCTCCCCTATCAGTGGACTGGGGAAGGGGCATGGGGCAAGAGGGAGGAAGGGCAGGATTGGGGGGGCATGAAAGAGGGGTTACATCTGGAATACAGAGTGAAAAAATTGTAATAAATAAAAAAATTAAAATAAAAAATCACCAAAAAAATTTTAAAAATGAAAATAAAATTCTGCTTCTCTTTATGTTTTTCAGAGCCCTAATAAAAGAATAGGGACAAAACAGACAAAGGGGAAGGTTGAAATTGTATAAAAAAAAAAAAAACGACTGGGTAGGTATTTAATGAGATTATGCTATGAATTTTGATATTTTACATTTTCATTGGTTAAAAGTAAATATTTATAAATACATTACAATCCAAATTAATTTTAAGAACTTATGGTTTTCAAATTGCCTTTTAAATATGTATGCTTTCAGATTCTCTTGCATGCACTTCTTTGATCTGTGTTTAGGTTTTCTTCTTTTAAGACTCTTGGATAAATATTACCCAATTAATATCATTGTTAAGTTTCCACTATAGACCTATTGTGACAGTACTTAATAGAATATTTTTTTTATTTTAACACTTATTCTAGGTGGCCCATGTATAAATATGTTGTGTAGGTGACAAGAAAAGTAACACATGATTATTAGTGCTTTAGATTTTATCATGAATTTTCACATATTGGTTTTATGGTATTAAAACTTAAGTTCTAAAGGCAATAAGATCCTCTTTTGAACAATACCTGTTATACTGATATTAGTCAATTGCTATAAATTTAAGTGTCGTTTACCATAAAGAAAAAAAAATATGGAAGATCCATTTATTAGACTACCCACCTCAATGCAAGTTTAATGGGGGTAAATGCTTAAAGAACATTGACCTTTTTTTCTTTTCCATATTCTTCATTCTACTCTAATTGGGACCCAGATCTCTACTGACAAAATCAAGAATAGAGCTTATATAATTTTCAGGAGAATTTAGGTCCCTCAGAAGCAAACATTAAACCTCAAGTAAGTTTTATGTTTGCATATTGTTTGGAACTGTCCAAACTGGAAGCTAATATGGTCATACATTTAAGTGGCATACCCGTTCTAGGCTCTCACTTAGAATCGTGTCAGACTTGACCAAACTGTGGAGCCATCTGCTAGTTGGTTTACTCTTGGCATTCAGCCTTTCCTTGCTCAGGTAAGATGTCTCCTCAGAAAAAACAAGACCGGTTTTCCACCTTTTATTAAATGAGTTTTCCTTCTTTTCATGTTTTAAATCAAGTAATGATGATGTAAGATCATTATCTCCCTCATAATTCAGGGAGATTTGCTATAAAGGTGATTTGTTTCAGTTTTAACTATTTTCCTTCCTACCTTTTCATGTATTTTCAGGTTCTTTTGTTTGCAACTGTCTCCCTGTTTGGTGCTGCTATCATGAGTGGGAAATCCCTTCTCTTAAAGGTCATTCTCTTGGGTGATGGTGGAGTTGGGAAAAGCTCACTGATGAACCGTTATGTAACCAACAAGTTCGACTCCCAGGCTTTTCACACTATAGGGGTAGAGTTCTTAAACCGAGACCTGGAGGTAGATGGACGCTTTGTGACCCTTCAGATCTGGGACACCGCTGGGCAAGAACGTTTCAAGAGCCTTAGAACACCATTTTACAGAGGAGCAGACTGCTGCCTGCTGACCTTCAGCGTGGATGACCGGCAGAGCTTTGAGAACCTTGGTAACTGGCAAAAAGAATTCATTTACTATGCAGATGTAAAAGACCCAGAACATTTCCCCTTTGTGGTTCTGGGTAACAAGGTAGACAAAGAGGATAGGCAAGTGACGACTGAGGAGGCACAAGCCTGGTGCATGGAGAATGGAAATTACCCTTATCTAGAAACAAGTGCCAAAGATGATACTAATGTGACAGTGGCCTTTGAAGAAGCTGTTAGGCAGGTGTTAGCTGTAGAGGAACAGCTGGAACACTGCATGTTAGGTCACACCATTGATTTGAACAGTGGCTCTAAAGCAAGTTCCTCATGCTGTTAGATATAGGGACTCTTCAAAAGTGTGCACTATATTGGGCAGTCTGTAGTATAAAACTACTGTGCCCTCTGTGATAGTATGTACGCACGCACACGTGTTCAGATACACCCACACACACACACACACACACACACACACACACACACACACACACGAACGTAAAAGATAAGGTTTTGTTTTGAAACAGAACCTTTCAAATTGAAGTTGTAGAGCGGTTTAAAGAGAAACAAAAAAAGCTTTATTGAGCCAAGTGTATTTTTGCGTGATTTCTGCTATTTTCCCTTCTTGTGTGTCCCAGGACGTTTCAGAAAGTTTTCGTCCTGAGAGATTTAAGTATTTTAAAATCACAGTTTAAACCTAGGACCCAGCCGCATGAAGGAGTGAAAGAGCTTAAAGTGTTCCATTAACCAGCCAGAAAATGCCACCACCAGACTCTTGCCAAGCAGTTTTATGACATTTCTACCAAAGGGAAAAATAAGATTCTAAGTTTTATTATAGCAAAAGTAATAATGGAAGCAAGTATTTCTAAACATGAGTTAGGAAAAAAGTGGTTACGATTAGGAGAAGGTAGATGTATGAAAATATACAGTGACATGTTGAAATCCTTATGTATGGTTTACTCTCATGTGAATTTAAAAACTCATTTCAATAAGAATTACTCCAATGACACTGGAGGTTGGTTCTAATCCATGTATTTGAATCACAGGACACTAGTGAATGGTTTATGCTTAAATATGCTAACCATCTTTGCAAACACATGGTTGGCCTGCTTTTCCTTCATAAGTCTACTGCTGCTGCATAGAGATGTTGCTTCTGTGACAATTTATCAATTTAGCAATGCTGCTTCATATGTGGCCTAGGGTGCAGTGCTCTCTGCCTACAATTTAGACAGTCCTATGGTTCACCATGCCGGCTCATGAAGAAGCCTTCAGAAAAGATTGTAAAGTATTGGTCTTTCCTCACAGGTTCCTTAACTCAGTTGCTTGTGTAGAGGTAGAATCTGATTCTTGGCATGTCTCGCCGAATGTTCAGCTGGCCAAACTAGGACATTAAAACTAGCAAAAGAGCAGATATTTTTTTGACTTTGTGTTAGGATGAATTTCTTATAATTATATTTGTTCAAATGTGGAATAGACTGCCTTAATAGTGAGCTCCCTCCCAGTAACAGTAGTCACTGGATGACCATCTGTTAAAATGCTGTTAAAGAATTACTGTACTGGCTACATGTTTGGTATAAGGTTCCTTCAGGCTTAAGTTCTGAATTTACAAACTATGTCAGTGCCATTTTCTGATTGGATTTATATGAAAATAATAGTTAAGACTATAGAGTGGGCCTTAAAAATCCTTAAGCCATTCTGGGATTAGCCTTTAACAACAACTACCATTTTAAAATATCCCAAAGACACCATGTTCAAAACAAAAATGGTTCAACAAATTTTGAATATCATGACTGCCAATTATATACTTTATTATGAGTGAACCATCTGGATTTTATTGATTGACCTGCATAGATTTTAATCTGTGTTTTTAAAACATGTATGATAAAAATTGTGAACCAATGTAGAGAAAGACAGTTAGCTAAGTCCCCCACCAAAAGAAGTAAGCCTGGGATGGGTTGGGAGCATTCACAGGAATACAGCCTAGAATTCTCCATTGAAGAAGCCACATATGGAATCAGCCTTACATGTGGGATCTTATGTGCTTTAAGAACTCTGGTACTTTTGGCCCCATAGACAAGAAGAGGACAGTATTTCAACCTAGATGTACTCAGTATTTGCAACTATTATATATTCCTGACCCTATTGTCCACTTAATTTAGATGCCAGAAGTCAAAGCAGAACTAGGACCCCACAGCTCTTAAATATTGGTTCCTATCCTGCCTATGCCTATAGCCAACCACACTGGTTTCAACATACTACAGGCATTTTTGCTACAGTAATGTCAGAGTAAAAATATGTATGTCAAAACTAATAAATGGTAATTATTTTTTAAGTGCATGAGACCTAGGGCCTTCTCTTTCTACTTGCATTCTGCTTATAATAGTTTCTATTTGTAGATCTCAGGCCTTCATAAAGATCTCCATCAGTTCACAAAAACTACTCGTCTCTGTAGCGTGGCATGTGGTCATTTGAGTAAAAATAAAAGTACATGAGGATTCAATTCATAGGCATCCTGTCCATCAAGAAAAGTGTTAATTTTACTGGCAGGTAAACTGAAGCCCCTTTCTTCTTAGCCATATACTTTTTTCCTCTACAAAATCATTTCATAATATCAAGCACTTAACAGTAAGTTACAAATAAGTGGCATTTTAGTGAGTAACACTCAGTGAGTGCTGACATAGTTTGGATAAGATAAAAAAACAAAAACAAAAACAAACAAAAAAAAACACCAAAAGCTGACATCTGTGGTATCAGGAACTGTGCATATGCATTTTGAAATTGACTGTGTATCTAGAATGTGCAGTAAAATATTTTTAATAGGTGTTTTTGGATTTTTGGAGTAATGTATTTCTAATTAAAAGCATACTGTTTTTCAATAGTCCATTAAAATATATAAAATATTTATTTATTTATTTACTGTCATGTATTGGCTTTCAGGGGGCCTCAGATTTCATATGTCTTCAGTGGATTGATGAATTTCAGGTGTATTTGTGTCTGCCTCAGCCATCTCTATTTTATCCTGAGGTGTTCCACAATCCTCTTGTTGCAGGTGCTGCTAAAATCTCAAAAAATGTGTATAAGATATTGTGTTCCTGTTATTTGAAAAATAATCTGTGTCAAAGTGAATAAAAAGTGCATTTTGAATAACCAACATGCAATGTTTGTAGGATTTTATTTCTCTCTTTTTCTTCTTTTGAGTATTTGTTCAGTATAGTATCTATATCAGTGAGTCAAGTCCTTCTCTCAGATGTGGTCTCTGGATCATCTTTTATGTAATACTCCAAATGGCTCTCCCTATTTATCATGCAGTAGTGACTGAGAAACAGACTCAAAAGACTGGAAGTTGGGAACTCGTTTATTTATTTTAGATTCCTCTGTAATGCATGGAGAGTTCTTGGCACCACAATATAGACCTTAATCTTTTACTTTATTTTTAACCATAATTTTAAAATATTAAACTATTTTAAAATATAAATATAATATGCACATTCTTTTTATTTTCTTGACTGATAAATTGCTTAGACATTAAAAAATAGGGAAATATAGGCAAAATGGGTCAGCACAGAAGTAATAGTTTTTTTATACAAAAATATTCTGTTCTCTTGACCGCCACATTTTGGCCATTATATTACACTAAGCATCAAATGGCTTGAATATATGTAATAGTAGCACTTTTAATTATATTTATTTGTTTGTTTGTTTATGTGCATGCCATGGTAGGTGTGAAGAGATCAGAGGACAATTTTGAAACTCAGACTCTCAGCTCGGTGGCAAATGCCTTTACTAGCTGAGCCATCTAGATGGTCCAGCGACATTTAAATTATGGATGCAAATCTCTCTATCATACATGATTCATCACATTGATTCCATCTGCTAGGGATTTATCAGTCTCATCCATTCCACAGACTTTTGGTTATTAGACTGTTGGGGAGAGAAAATATTCTTTTTTCTTGTTCCAGAATTATTACATCATACTTAAAATATATTTCAACTTCTACAATGATATGACTTTGACACTACAGAATATCATACATTTCTTATCAACGTAAAGATTTTTTTTTCATGGCAGAGGCCTTAGTTCTGATTCCTATTAATGAACAAAAAGAAGGAAGGGGATCAATTTTTGTCATCCAGAATGAATATTTTCAAAGCAGAAAACTATCTTTCTGTCTGCTATTTTTTTTTTCTGCCCCAACAATCACTTACAAGGAAATCTTCTTTTCATGTCTTAAGATGTTATATGAAGTCTCATTTTGAGGATAGTAGCTGAGATTTTTCCATGGAGGGCATGCCAAACAATTTCTCTTCTATCCTAAAATTGAATATTAAAAACACTTTGGGAAATCAAGGCATCTGTTTGCATAATTTCATGATGGGAACTGAGACAGGCATCTTTGTTTCATTTTAATTACTTAAAGCATTCCCGCAACAAGATTTTTTTCAGTGTCAGTGATCTAGATAGTCAACTCAAATCTCTCTTTTCTTGCTATAGAGAGACAGGATTTGTCACAGAGAGTGATTTTTCTCATGCTTGCTTGATTTCAGTAAAGATAAACTGATGTGCTGTCATAGCCCAGAGTGCTACAACAAAATTCCACAAGGTGGGTGGTTTACCAAAAACAAAATTTTATTTCTCGGAGTTCTGAAGGCTGAAGAGTCTAAGATCAACGTCCTGGCAAATTCTGTGTCTGGTGATTTTTCATTTCCAAATGACAACTTCTTATTGTGTAGTGAGCAAAAGGGGGTCTTCTTTTAATCAAAACACTAGTTCCATTCATGACGCTAATGTCCCTCTCCACCCCCCCCCCGACATAATCACTTCATCAAGCCCCTACCTCCTAATACCATCATCTGGTAAGTTAGGATTTCAATATGAATTAGGGGTGAGTGATCATAACTATTAGGAACATAGCACATGTATTAATGCTAATATAATGCTGTATTTGGGGGTCACCACTAATGTTCCCTTCTTCCTAGCAAATGTCTTAATTACCCCAACTTTTCCCACCAACAGAGCCTTTATTGTTTTTTAAGAGGATAAAGGGAGAATGACAGAAGCTAGGCATGTTTTACAGAACAAAATTAACAGTTTAAAAAGAAATATTAGCGGCTAGAGAGATGACTCAGTAGTTAAGAATGCATGCTTCTAATGCAGAGGACCAGAATTCAGTTCCCAGAACCTAGGTCATAACTACCTGGAACTCCATTTCCCTAGAGAGTGAAAGTCCCTGATGTCTGTGGTCATCTGTAGCCCAAGAAAAAACACATATGCATACAAATACTTTTTAAAATACACTAAATCTAAAAGCTAAAAACTACTCAATAATAATAATTTTACTCACACTAATGATCAGTGAACTGCCTTTATTTAGCTGCTAGTGGTGGTTGTAGTGATTTTGGGGTAAGGCTTTTTTTTCCCCTTGTGAGATGAGAGGTTACTTGTGTTTTCCCTGTAAGAATAAGTATCTCCACAGCTGGAGATGAGAAGTTGTCATCGTTGGTCATACAGGAACTGTGGCAGTAAACAGTGTATCTGCATAAATCGCTTTGCCTGCTTTAAGGGAGCACAGAACATTATGATTCAGCCACATACAGCCACATACTGATTTCTTAAACAGTGTGCTTTGTGTGTGCAGATCTGTGTTTTTAAGTAATCTGTCAATTTCTTTCATGCCCTGTCAACTATTGATAAATGTGTAATGAGTCTCACTCCAACACTCCTGAATTTTAACCAGATTGCTAAGCTATGTTGTTTATTCAAAATTAGCTGATAAAAGGGAATTGGAAAATGTTGCCTAATGAAAAGAAATAACTCAATTGAACATTAGTGATATTGATTAGAATAAAAATTTGAATTATGATTTCTGAGGTGCATTGGTGATGAAGCAAAAGACAGGCTTAGATCTTCTATTGTCCATTACCTTGTTCCTGGATGCCTTAAAAAGAGGACATCTGTCCTGTAATATATGGCTTAACCGCCTGCTGATAGATGAATGTGTGTTGGTAGCTTTTAATATCCTCTTTTTCTATTGTTCTCAGTGGAAAACAGCTCCACCAGTGTACATTTTGAAGCCAGTCTTTATTTATTGGGGGAGGGGCAGACCTATGTGTCTCTGGCAGAAAATCCAGAAAATCAAGCAAATAGGCAAGCAAGAAAAAATAATATTTGATTCTAATAATGTTATTCTAAGATAAGCAGATTTATCTTTGCTATGTGGGCTTTTAATATAGTTACATAAAGGAAAATTGGATGTAATACTGTATACACACTGTGAAATCTTTTTCACTTAATACACAGTGAATACTTCCATAAATCATGTTTTTTCTTCTAGGGAATGTACATAATGTTTGCATAATCTTCTATTGAGGAATACAGTGTATTACTTATAATGTGATTTTGTTCCTTCAGAAAATAAAGGTGGTCCTTTCCAGGTCCCACCATTTACCTGCAAATTTCATGATTTCCTTATTTTTCTTTGCTGAGTAATACTCCATTGTATAGATGTACCACAGTTTCTGCATCCATTCTTCAGTTGAGGGGCATCTGGGTTGTTTCCAGCTTCTGGCTATTACAAATAAAGCTGCTACAAACATGGTTGAGCAAATGTCCTTTTTGTGTACTTGAACCTCTTTTGAGTATATGCCTAGGAGTGGTATGGTTGGATCTTGAGGAAGCGCTATTATTCCTAGTTGTCTGAGAAAGCGCCAGATTGATTTCCAGAGTGGTTGTACAAGTTTACATTCCCACCAGCAGTGGAGGAGGGTTCCCCTTTCTCCACAACCTCTCCAGCATGTGTTGTCCCTTGAGTTTTTCATCTTGGCCATTCTCATGGGTGTAAGGTGAAATCTCATCACTCATCCTGAATGAGTTGTCCCAGAAGCAAAAAGACACGCATGGTATATACTCACTCATATGAACATACAATATAGAATAAACCCACTAAAATCTGTACATCTAAACAAACTAAGCAAAAGAGAGGACCCTAACTAAAATGTTCAATCCCCATCCTGAAAGGCCAAAAGGATGGACATCAGAAGAAAAAGAAAATAGAAAACAACCTCTGAACCTGCTACAGAGGGCCTCTGAAAGCCAGAAGAAAACAGGAAACAACCTTGAAACCTGCCACAGAGGGCCTCTGAAAGCTTCTGCAGTATAGACTGTCAAAGCAGATGCTGAGCCTGATGGCCAACTGATGGGCAGAGTGAATGGAATTTTATGTAAGAAGTGGGAAATAGTAAAAGCTGGAGGGGACGAGAACTCCACAAGCAGAGCAACAGAACAAGATAATTTGAACACAGGGAACTTCCCAGAGACTCATACTCCAACCAAGGACTATTCATGGAGATACCCTAGAACTCCTGCACAGATGTAGCCCATGGCAGTTCAGTGTCCAAGTGGGTTACATAGTAATGGGAAGAGGGACTGCCTCTGACATAATCTTATTGGCCTGCTCTTTGATCACCTCCCCCTGAGGGGGGAGCAGCCTTATCAGGCCACAGTAGAGAACAATGCAGCCAAATTTGATGAGAACTGATAGACTAAGATCAGAAAGGAGAGGAGAACCTCCCCTATCAGTGGACTTGGGGAGTGGCATGCATGCAGAAAGGGGAGGGAGGGTGGGATCGGGAGGGGAGGAGGGAGGGGCTTATGGGGGGATACAAAATGAATAAAGTGTAATTAATAAAAAATTAAAAAAAATAAAATAAAATAAATAAAATAAAGGTGGAAGAGATTACTACTAATAAATGTATTTCAGATTGGTGCCTATTTCTTTTAAGTAACACTTCTAAATCAATTAATATGAATATTTGATGCCTTTTAATATGTAATGACAAAATACATCAGAAAGTTGTTCCAAATTATATCAGCATTAGTATAATAAGAGACTGATTTTCTCAAATATCCACATACATAGTCTTTTCTAACCACATCTACTTCAGCCAAAGAACGTCCAAGTGGGTTACATAATAATGGGAAGAGGGACTGCCTCTGACATAATCTGATTGGCCTGCTCTTTGATCACCTCCCCCTGAGGGGGGAGCAGCCTTACCAGGCCACAGAAGATGACAATGCAGCCACTTTTGATGAGATCTGATAGACTAAGATCAGAAAGAAGGAGAGGACGACCTCCCCTATCAGTGGAC